CTTTTCAACTTTTCTTGTTTTTGTACCCTAATTTCCTTTTTGCTTTTTCTACATCATTCTCTGTACTCTGTTCTTGCTTAGTAATAGTTTGCTTTTGTACTCTTGTTTTTCTTCATTGTCTCAATAGCTATCTAGTTATTGTTTTAAGCTCTCGGTACTTTTTGTTGAACCATCTGTCTCTGTGTTTATGTCTTCTTCTTGTATATTTCTTCGGTGCTGCTTCATTTATACAGGGTGCCGCATCCAAGACTAGATATAGGGAAGTAACATGGGAATTGGTTTTTATTTTATAATATCTCCCCAGGTCACTTTAAAGCTATTATTGAGTGATGCCTTTGTGGAGGTCGAAGAGGGCTATCGGCCAGTATTTTTTTCAAATCGTTGCATCGCGCTCATTCACTGTAAAAAGGTTTTGAAAATCGTATTTTGAAATTCGCGCCCGATCCGAATTGTCGCGAAGTGTTCCGTCGTACTGTCGAAGTTCGGCGATCGCGTCTTTTCATTACCCATGCAAAATTCAAATATCAAAGTGAAATTAGAAATTATTCTCTTATTAGAAATCAACGAACAAGTCAAACTGAATTATTTTATCCAGTGTGATGATTTATTGCAGGTCAATTTAAACGGAATAAATGCACAAGCTGCATAAAATATTTTATTAGGTTATGCTATGTTCTACTGCGATTAGATGAAAAAGCGGGGGCCTGCATGTTCTTCAACGGTTAATTTAATTAGTAGGTAATTTGGATAAATTTCACCCTTTTTTTTGGAATCACTAAAGATTCGAAGTCAATTGATTTTACATTCGTTAAGCAGGGATGGATTTTTTGCCTCCAGGAAGCATCTTCATTACAGGAAATTTTTGAGAGAGAAATGTAGAACATTGACTCATCAACATTTTAAAGTATTTGTCTCTATTACGAATGTGTTTTGGGATTCAGAAACTTTTGTATTACTGCTTTATTTGTTTATTGTGTTAACAAAAATAAAAATAATATTTCGCAAAATAAAGTTACATTTATTTTCAAAGGTGATAAAAATTACATAAAATCAGGTGGGCACGATGTTTTCTAGGAATCTTAAACAGATGAGATGGAAGAATTTCAAAAAGCATCATTACAAAAAATTGAAGCCTGAGGACTACTTCTCACATATAGAGTTTTACGAAGGAACGTTTGAGAGAATCTAGGCTGATGGAGAGTTTTTGAGGAACATTTGTTTTACTGACGTTCATTTGGTCTTAAGGGAAGTTATAATCGTCAGAACGATCAAATTTGAGCATTACACAACCCTCACGTGGTCCATGACCTTCGTTATTAATGGCGTGCAATTGTCAGTGCATGACTGGGGCTTGTAGGACATCATGTCATTGCACCTTTTTTCATCGAATCCGGATTGAATGCTCAGAAGTAGGATAATATGCTAGCTCATCAAATACTTCCTGGGACACGGAGGGTGCGGCATCTGCAGCAGGTCTTTTACATCCAGGACCAAATCTCCAGCCGTACAGCTCGCATAAATGTTGTTTATTTGAACCAGTATTTTTCAGCAATGTTGGAATGGAAAGTTTGCACCTATGCAATCGCCGGATCTAAACCCCTGAGAATTTTTTCTTTGGAGATTTCTTCACGACCATCTGCATTCAGACAAGCTATACAAACGGAGGAGCGCTGAAACAAGCAATCCAGCAATATTGTCTTCAGATTTCAAGTAAAATGCTGATCAACACGCGTAGGAGTTTTGAAGATAGGCTTACTTACTGTACAGCTGCTGAGAGCAGTCTTTTTTAGCAATTCTTGAAAATAGTGCAATACTTCTCCAGATTTGTACAATATTTCATTACTTCATTCATCAACAATTGTTAAGTTTTGTTATTTGTAGTTATCTAAATGGTTCATTAAAAGGTCCTCTTCAAAAGCGCCAGCTGTTTTGATGGTAAATGTTATCATCACACAATAAGAAAAGCGGGCCCTCGCTTTTTCATCTAATCGCAGTAGAACATGGCATTTTAATGAGATTTTAGTAATAAAGACTCGATCAGCACCAGCAACATAACCTAATAAAATATTTTGTCCAGTTTGTGCATTTATTCCGTTTAAATTGACCTACAATAATCGTCATATTGGATAAAATAATTCAATTTGAGTCGTTCAGTGATTACTGAGTGAGGCAACCCGAGTACATTCCTAACTTGAGGGCTCCCAGAAAATGTCACAATGCTGCCGATGGGCTTTGATGGGGTTTTGAGGAAGACCAGCTGCTCGAAGTCTTCATCTTGGGCTTTTTGGATACGGTTGATTGTAGTTCGAGATGGCTCGTTTGACGGGGTCGCGCACTATGACGAATGAATGGATCAATTTGTGCATTTATTCCGTTTAATTTGTCCTACAATAATCATCACATTGGATAAAATAATTCAGTTTGACTTGTTCGTTGATTTCTGATGAGAATAATTTCTAATTTCACTTTGACATTTGAATTTTGCATTGGTGTGGGATCCTTGGGTGTGGGTAATGAAAAGACGCGATCGCCGAACTTCGACAGTACGACGGAACACTTCGCGACAATTCGGATCGGGCGCGAATTTCAAAATACCATTTTTAAAACTTTTTTACAGTGAATGAGCGCGATGCAACGATTTGAAAAAAATACTGGCCGATAGCCCTCTTCGACCTCCACAAAGGCATCACTTAATAATAGCTTTAAAGTGATCTGGGGAGATCTTATAAAATAAAAACCAAATCCCATGTTAATTCCCTATATCCAGACTTGGATGCGGCACCCTGTATAGGTTATTAACACTCCTTCTAATATCTGCTCAACATACTCGGCTGTGAAAACTGCTTGAAGCGTTTATGTTCTAAATTTATTTACTACTTCTTTGTTTCAGACTCTAACCTCACTTTGTTGCTGAAAATCGTCCATGTTCTGCTCCTTTATTTTTAATGTAGCCTTAATTGTTACTTCTTGTGGTATGTGGTCCTATTCAATTCTGTCCCCAATTCTAAAATATCAGATTTCATCCTTGGCCTCGGCGTCTACAAGCCCATAATCTATTACCGATTTTCGTTTCTAAGGCGATGTGGTCACCTTCACCTCACTGAGGGTGGCGCCTTTTGTCGTGAGCGGCGGTGCTCGGACACCAGCTCCCTCTCCGGGGAGAGAGCAACGGTCTGCCTCTAAAGACGGAGACACGGTTCTCCAGGTGGTCTGGCGAGCGTCCGCGGAAACAAGAAATACTATGAAGGAAATTACTTACAATAAATCGGCTCTTATTTCCTGCCATTAGGTACACGGCTAAACTGAAAACCTTAAGGCTAGCTTAAAACTCTTTTACAAGATAATAAAAATAACAAAACATCCGACACGGTCGTTCTGGGCTCCTGGACGAGCTCCTCCTGGCCCTGGGGGCGGCGGGTCTGTAACGGAAATCGCGCGAGGGTTCAACAAAAAACGGTAACGGCGGTAAGGCTTTCTCGTTCGAGGGGGCGATTTTAACTTGCAGAAAACCCAATCGGTACTTACGATAGACCGTAATTGGTGTCTGGGTCCTGCTAAACGAATTCTCTTGTTCAAATTTACGCACACACTTCCCAACTCAACTTATCTGCTTCTTCACGACTCGATTGCTTATTGTTAATTCACCTTTCTTCTCCTTTTACTAGTAGAACATAACCTATGTTGTCAATGATGCGAAAACATAACCTCTCTTGTTCGATGTCAACCCCATGTTTTAGTTGGTGCCAGCTGTTTTCACAAACTGTGGGAAGACCTGCAACTTCTGCTGCAATTGATACTTGTATCTCGCTCGCAGCGAAGAGCCTTTGGCGACTCAGGGAAAACGGAAGGATGATTAACAACTTTCTTACCAGCAACCGTCGGTATCAGCAGCCACGAAGTCTTATTTAAAGGACCCAAGGCTAGGTGTGGAGTGACACGGACTCCACAAGTGGTCGTAGATGGTGTCCTTAAAGGTCTGGTCCTTCAAACAAGTTGGCTTGGATGATAGACCTCAGTCAGCCTTATCCTTATTGGAGGCAAGGGGACAGACAGTGTGTTGTTTTAGAGCTTGGAACCGACATAAAGGAAACAATTTGTGTCCCTTTCTTTTTTACCTCCGGAGCATAAGCTCAAAAGGTATTTTATTCGAGTTCACCGGCCAACTTGCTACTTACTCTGTCTATTTGTTTGTCTGTCTGCCATCTCTCTGGATTTTTATTAGACAGATAATGTTCGTAACTACTGCACCGATTGTTGTTAAATTTTGTATATATAGTAAGGTATATATATCATGGAGATGGTAAAACGCTATTCAAAATTTGGCTGATCATCCCCACTAAGAATGGGATAACGTCATCTCCAAAATTTCCAATGTTCTTTTTTTATTTTTTATTTTTAATTTTACTTATAGGAAATGCCTGCACTTGTGGTGTTTGAATCCAGGCTTTTGGAAAAAAATTAAAATTGTATAAGAATATTTTACAAGTTAATTAATTAGTAAACGTTCTTTCTTTAACAGAAAATCAAATTAAAAAAAATATGAACACTGATGATTTTTGGAAATTTTTATAAATATATGTAGATGATAATATTTGGAACATGGTACTTCAATATTAAATAATAAAGGAAAGTAAGAATAATAATAATGCATATCATTACTTGGTCTTAGTACCCGTAATGATAGAAGTCTTGCCTGAATGCCGGTCATTTCCGGGTCAGTGGTGGGTCTTATAAGAAATTTTGATTTGTATCCTGTCTTCTGTGATTTAATATTTTTTTAAATTAATTTTACGTTGTCGTTAAGATTGTTATTTTAGAATCTGGTTCATATTTTTCTTTAAAAAAAATAAAATTCGCAAAATTAATTTTTATAAATTTTCGAAAAAGTTGAATATAACTATTTTATTGTACTTCAGAAGCGGATAAAGTTCTGTCGAAATAACCTCGACTAATTTTTGTAGTACTTACTGTAATTCGGTGTTAACCATGTATCAAAGAAGTTTGAATTTTTAATATGCTTTTATTACTACGCAGTGCAAAGTGCAAGGTGTTTATAGATATAGTACATAGTTAAGTATATTTGTTGGTCGGAATCCAAGACACCATTTCTTCGGAAATTTACATTCTCGAATCAGGAACTAGGGCTTTTCATAAAGAAATATTGGTAACAATTCTATTTTTTCATACTCACTGGGGTAGGACCACAGAAAATAATTAAAGATGCCACAGTGACACTGTACATTATTAATTTGTAGATTTTCTTAGCCATTTTTTTATCAAGTTAGTTGTCCACTTAAGAAACTAAATAAATTTTCTAACGAATAATCCACTCCTTTATATACGGAACAAGTAGTACAAAAAATCATAGTCGTATACTACGTCGTTTATTCATTATCTTTGCTCGTTATGTTAATAACTGTTGTGTAGGTACTGTGGTAAAAGCGCGTGTAAGGAGGCCAATTTCTTTAGAACAGCGCGTGGCAGAAATAAAAAGCCAGGACAACAAGAAATAGGAAAATCATTTCTTATTTCTCGTTTATAACTTCATGTTATGTGCTTAAAATTTTAATTTACTTTTTTTTATTGCATATAGGTACTCGCATTTTATTTTTAATTGATTGCATTGTGTTTGGGTTTTAAGTGTACTAGTATCCCTTTTATTCACCCTTACCACAAATAACCACTTCATTATTGCAATAGTATAAACATGTTGTTTACTTTTTGTCACTTTTTGGTGACCAAGGCCATAAGTTGGCATTGGATAAGCAAGACGCTTTTTTAACACTCTGATAAGGGCCGGTTTTTAGAAAGGGGAATTAAATATTTAATCCTCGATTAATTTAACAGTATATTAAAATGTGGAATGGCAGCTTGGGATTGGTTAAAACATGCACGTCGCCTAGCAACGGACCTCAATTAAAAGTTAACAGCGAATTAACTTTAATTTCGGTTTCTATAAACCAGGTCCTACTCGCGTGTTGGACGACAATACTTAAGCAATAAGGGCTCTGGCTTATTCTTATGGGAAATTAACGTGGGAAATTATCAAATTCACCTCTAAGATTCAGAATAAATTAAAAATTCACTACATCACGACCGGGATATATTACGCTAATGGTAACCTGTTATTATATATAATGTGCATTATGCGAAATTTGGACGGTTAAGGGTGCCGTCTGGAAGCAAAATATCGGCCTAGTCAAAGTGAGAATAAAACTACCCGGGAGATGCTGCCTCCTGTTAGTGAGTTGCTAAAATATGAATAAATGCAGCACCGATCCGTAGAATTCTACTTTTTACTGTACGGAAATAAGTTTTGGTACACAAGCCCGCAGTGCCTGTCTAGCCATAATAATTGCAAACAAAACCCGGGTATAAAAAAAATACCTGAATTTACCCTTGACCGTTCAAAACCGGAAAGATGTGAAACTCACTGATTCATTTTCCTATTTTGGCTACAGTTAATTCTTCCCAGTTAATTATCTATTTTGATTCCGTACTTAAATTGTTTTCAGTAAATACTTATATTTATTATATGTAAATAATTAAAGTACCTCTTTCTGTCGTGGGATTATCTGTAGATATGTGATTTATTCCTATCAAGGGAGTGTTTTTTGTCTGAATTACAGGAACATCATGTAAAGCAAAAATTGGTCGCGCTAAGGTACTATTTACGAAGGGGAGGGATTTTCCACATTTGTAGGGTAAACTTGAAATAAAAGGATTAGGATTAGGATTCAGGAATAAGTAAATGTTTTTATTATTTCCTACTATCTGCACTGGTCGGACATGCCCATTCATTACAAATGCAATATTTTTGGTGGAAAATTTGTCTTAAACTTTCGCAAATAAATAATATTTAGGAGTTTGGTTTGTTATTTACTTTATCGTTTGCAACAAAAGCAATAGTAATAAAAATAAAAATATATTTACCAAGTAAATAACAATAAAATGTTAAAATTATTAGTGGCAATCGTTTGAACATGTTTTGTGTTGTTTTTTTTTTTAATATCGCGGCACAGATGAACGTTAGTAAAATAATAACGTGTCCGTGAAGCCATTAGGCACATAGCAAAATTTTTTACTTTTTTTCAACGCAAATGTTAATTATTTTGGCGGCTAATCGCATGGCAGAAGGCAGTTTATTTCAAAATGTGACTTTGCTTAAACTGCTTGTTAGTATATCGTTTTGTAAAGATTTAAATAATTAATTATAAATTTTTAATAGAAGCAGCTGCTATTTTTTATGCATATTAACTTTGACTTGCACTTTTAATTACGTATATCATATGCTTGCGCATCGTAAACCTCATTTTTTTGTATAGGGTATAAATATTTTTTGTTCACTACATATTTGTCATACTCTTTCGGAAACATTCAATTGCAAATTTTAGGCTTGAACAACATCTTGAACGTAATTTTAAATTCGGAAAACAATTGTTACTCAATGGAGTCGAAAGCATGTACAAGGGATAATTTCAGTCCACAGACCCAGTCCCACTTCCGGTGACAAACAAAAGTTGTTAAATTTATTGGAGGTGGTTGTTTAGATCTGGTTGGTAGAAATGATAGAATCCTATGAATGTAATTGTTTGAAATGCACGTAAAGTACCTTAACCTGTTTAAATTTTGTTGGTTGTCTGTATCCCCTGGACTGAAGTTTGTTAATTCGAAATATATATTTTTTAAAGCGATATATCCCGTATTTGTAAAATGCAACTCCGGAAACCACGACGATGTTTTCAATGTATTTAGTATAGGACGAAACCGAACCAGACGCGAACCTTAAGGAAACAATTCCGCGCGGATTTGTATAGGAGTATATTGTTGTATAACAGTTAAATCAAATAAACATAGAATTCTTTGAAATTACCTCATCAAATTGTTGGTGGGGATGATTAGCACAATTTTGGTTAACGTTTAACCATCTACATGATATTTTTAATCCACATGCAAAATTTGACAACAATCGTTCCAACAATTTCGGAAATCACGTGTCTAATAAAAATGGATACAGACACCAGACCGACAGACAAACAGACGGAAACGGGAGACTAATTTTCGTAATGTTTGGGTCATAAAACGTCGAGAAAATGAAAAAGTGGCCATTCGTCCGACCATGATATTCAAATCATCTTATTTATTCGCTGTATATAGTACACCGTCACATTACACTCGGTGACATTACTACATTGTTACATTAACGGTGGTTGTCCGATGAAATTATGTCAAATAGGGTACCAGAGATATGTCTTTTACATATCTCTGACGAGTACATAATCAGATCAGACATTCAGCCGGCATAACAGATTCCTGCACCTCCCGCTGCATGCGCCACCACTGTCAGTTTTAAGGGACTAGCGAAACAACGAAGACGACGGTTGTAACAAAATAATTTTCGGCATTTTAAATTTTAATGACGGAAGCCAAAAATGTTGCGACTTGATATTATGATTCCTAATTAACAATAAATGTGGCAAATTAGCCTCCAGTGAAAGACAGTTTCACTTAAACTTAGCTTCAGAAGAAACGATATTTTTTGTATATGTAATTTAGTTAGTTTATTCCGTTTAAACTGACCTACAATAATCGTCATATTGGATAAAATAATTCACTTTTAGTCGTTCAGTGATTACTGAGTGAGGCAGCGCGAGTACATTCCTAGCTTGACGGGCCCCCAGGACATGTCACAATGCTGCCGATGGGGTTTTAGGAAGCCCAGCTGCTAGAAGTCTTCATGTCGGGCTTTTTGGATATGGCCTGAGTGTAGTTCGAGATGGCTCGTTTGACGGGGTCGCGCACTATGACGAATGAATGAATCAATTTGTGCATTTATTCCGTTTAATTTTTCCTACAATAATCATCACACTCGATAAAATAATTCAGTTTGAGTTGTTCGTTGATTTCTGAGAATAATTTCTAATTTCACTTTGAGATTTGGATTTTGCATGATTAATCCAAAGACGCGATCGCCGAACTTCGACAGTGCGACGGAACATTACGCCACAAATCGGATCGGGCGCGCATTTCAAAATACGATATTTAAAACCTCTTTACAGTAAATGAGCGCGATGCAACGATTTAAAAAAAATACTGGCCGATAGCTCTCTTCGACCTCCATAAAGGCATCACTCAATAATAGCTTTAAAGTGATCTGGGGAGATTTTATAAAATAAAAACTAATTTGCCATGTTAATTCCTTATGTCCAGACTTGGATGCGGCACCCTGTATATGTATGTAATGTTGGAGTAAATATATATAAAGAAGCGTGTTAGGCGTATGTTACAAATGAGTCTTTCCTTGACAAAATTTTGTGATGTATATCAACTGCGGTAGGTGCAGTGTGATACTAATAATGACAGTATTGTGGTTCAAAATTTTCGGGAAAATGGAGTTAAAATACGTTATTGTTTCATTCATTTTTTCTTTAGCCAGCCTGTATGAATAAGCAGTTCTAAAATATATGAACGTAATGATAAATTGCAAGAATAGACTCATCGTATTTTACACATTTTAGGCAGGATTTCTTTGCCAAAATTTTGAAGATGATTATCTGCAGAACTAATGAAGAAATTGTAATTAAAATAAGTTGTTATATTTAAAGAAAGGGCAATTAACGTGCATTTTTTATAGAAATAATGGTTCACCGTAAAAGTGCGTATTTAGTGCTTTTTTAATGTTTACTGGTTCTCGCCAAGCTCATTATGGTATTGTAAAAATTTATGTACTTATGGACATACTTAAAACAAAAACTCCCAAGATAGCAATGGACGGGTAAGTTGTTTTTGTCATCGTCTACCACGCGAATAGGTAGTTAGAAAAACAGCCTGCTTATCCAATGCCAACTTAAGACCTTGCCCATCAGACAACGATCAAATAGGCAACATATTTACAATACTGAAATAATAAATTGGCTATTTGTGGTAAGGGTGGTTAAAAGGGAGACTGTCATACCTAAGACCCAAACTCAATGCAAACAATAAGAAATAAAATAAATAATTTGAAATTAAAATGTTAAGCACATAAGGAACAAGAAATAAGAAATCATTTTTCGATAAACTGGATTTTAATTTCTTATGTGTACCTATGTGTTGTCACACGCAGGGGCGGACAGGCACCTTAAAAGTGGTCCACGCAAAAGATTTAACCGGCCCTGTAGGCGACCCTCACTTACTACTTATAGCAAATGTTTTCTGCGATATTTTGTAAAATCAACAATTTGACATATCTATTTATTAATAAGTTTAAAATAACTAATTTTATTTAGGAAATACGCTCAGGAAC